GGCTCTACTGGGGGCTCTCGGGGTCGCTGTATTCCTCATGGCCTGGGGCATAGGCAGGGTCGGGGGGCACCAGCTGGAGCCCCGGCTTCTTGTCCGTCTCATAGCTGGGGGTGGTGAGGCAGTGCTGGACGTACCCTGTGGGAAACAGAGGGGACGTCACCATCCACCAGCGCTTTTCCCTCCTGCCAGTCCCCTCCCTCTCCCAGTGGTCCCAGTCTTCCCAGACTCTGTGAACTCCAGAGAGGGGGCACATGCATGGTGGTGCATTTGGGGGGTGGTTATCAGCATGGACTTTACTGAAAGGGGAGATGAGGGGCAACCTCTGGGACTGCAGCTCTCCCAGGGACCCAGCCAGGGAACAGCCGGAGGAGGCTGCGGGCAGGGCATGTGAGCGATACGCAGAGGAGCAGCCTGGGCGAGGGATCAGCTGCTCCGTGCATCGTGCCAGGTGTGCAAAGCCCGTACAGACAAACACAGCCAAGACAGGACTCAGATTTGGGGTACCCATGGTGGGGGCTGAGACTGGACAGGGGATGCTGGGGGGAGTTGCTGGAAACCACAGGCACCCACGCAGAGGGCTTGCAACTCGCACTGTTCCTGCTTGCTCTCCTGGGAGCCCCCTCCTCATCCTGGGGGTTGTCCCACATGGACCCTGCCTCATCTCAGCTCAGTCGGTGTCAGGTTTTGCACTGAATCCCTGAGGACACAGACAGGTCAGCCATCCTCCTCCTCCAGGGCTAATCCTTCTGTAGGGCATGGGGTACGTCTGTCCAGGGGATAGCATGCTACAGAAATGCCATACTCTGCTCCTGTACCCAGTAGCTGGGGGGATTTTCACCTCCCAGTTTGCAGTTGGGGGACAAGACCTAGGCTATGCCGTACCTTAAAAAGTGAAAGAGCCACTCTATTAGGGTGAATCGTGGAAAGGGTGAAAAGGATTAGGGTGAATCTGTTTCTGTGCACCGGGTACCTCCCAGGTTTGGCAGGACATGCATATTGCATGGCGCGCATTTAGTGCAGTAAAGCTAGCCGTGAGGCTGCGTTATAACAGAAGTTGTCTGCGGCACCTGAGACCCCTCGGGCGGGCACCCCTGCAGATCTGTAGGCAGTAGCCCCCTCTCCGCCAGCCTGGGCTAATTGCTGTGGGTTACAACCAGACAACCGCAATGTGACCCTGGAACATGGATGCGGCTCAGCGGCCCCTGCGGTTGCTGCAACGATCTCTGCTGGTAGCGCGGGGTGATGTGCGTCTGCCTTTTAGCAGCTCACACGCTCTCTTAAACCATGGAAGGCCAAATTCATCACAGCATCCTTCATTCGTGCAGCCTCTTCCATGCACTACTACGAGCACCACGCCTGTTGTACCGTCCCGTCTCTGTGCCATGCTTGGAGGCATGAGGTGCCTCTGTGCAAACACACACGCACTCTCTCACATGCACACACACATTAGTATCATTCTTTAGACAGATAAAAAGACCCATATGTTCAGGCAACGGGCTGGGCTAATTTTTCATGCCAGAAATGTCGGGTCCTCTTGCTGCAAGCCGCGCGGGGGGCTCCTGTCCATGTGAGGTGGTAAAATATGGAAGAATGATGTCAATTGGCACAGCTCCACTAATGCCTGGGACACGCCGTGCCTCCCTCCTGCTGTGCGCTGC